TACAGTTTACAAGTCTGATATAGGTGTGTATTCAATGTAAAGAGAGATAAATAATCTTAACTGTTGTTTTAGGTTGGTCGCTTTTTACATTAACTTCAATATTTCCATGCAACTAAGCATATTAGTGAAGAAGTAGATAACGTGTCCTTTGTAGTTCACATTATTTGATATGTATGTCTTTTTTCTAACAGTATGGTAAAGTGGTTTAATAATTAGTATTTTAATGGACATAATTTCTTCAGTTTTAGGATATTTCAAACATGTCTAGTCGTGAGGCTCCAGCATCTATTTCAGCCATTCGTAATCCAAACAGTCAGCTTGCTGGTCTACCACCTAGACCTCCTCTTTCAGATGCGGCTTTGTTTTCTTTGATTTTAACTGTTCGGGAGGCCGGTCGGCGTTTAGCAATGAGTGATTATGCCATCGCCACAGCTTGCACAATATTACACCGAGCTCTACGCGTTCTTACTACTGGTGATGAACAACCAGTTACAACCCTCGCTACTTCTGGGTCAGCAACTGTCAATGGATCTGATTCAGTTTCTGGTTTCGACTCAATCGACCAATCTTTTAAACATAGCTTAGGAGATATCGATGCACATGTAAGGTCCTTATTTTACTCGGTGAAAACATGTCAATAAAACGGTCATATGTTACTAAACCAATTATTTAGTACATGACGTAATTAATTCATTTGTCCTTTTTATTATCTACTAACCAACTGACTGACTGAATTTCTTCGTAATGGTTTTAAAATTACTAACTTCTATGACTTTTCTAATGTGTTCATTCTTTTTCCTACTCACTTTTCTTATTATTCTTTTCCTAAAAATAGTGTAAAACATATGTCTTGTTATCTAATTATAAAAAAAACTAACTCCTGGTTTTGTGTGTTTTTTTCGTGTCAGTTTTGTTTGATGACTTATAAACAAAATATTGATGATGAAATTAGTCTACTCTTTAAATAACCGTACATTCAATGCCAATTGCACTTGTTGTTTGAAACAGTACTCGATAAAATGAGACGAGTGAATTTAAAATTTTTATCAATGTACAGTTAATTTGATAGACAAGATATAATGTGTACATGCTTCTATATCACTGTCTTATAATTGTTCATTGTTACATAATCATCTTAGAGTATACAGAAATAAGCAATTTGAAATGTTTTTCAAAAAAGTTTGCAAAATAATCTAAATATTTATAAAAATCAAATCAATTGATTGTAAAGTTGTGAGGTGTTTCCAATTACTTTTAAATTGAAGTTTATATTTGCTCGTGAGCACATATTCCTGAAACAAGTAGCTGTTATAAAAATAAGTGTAATTTTGTTTCACTGTGTTATTGAACCAATGAACCATAATGCCACTTTCCACTTTTGTATCGACATATATGCATAAATTTCTCTCATCCTCGTACGTTTGGTCTTTTTCCATTTTCACTGATAGGTGTTTGTTTAGTAATTATTTCTACCTATACTTATACCAAAAGCAGACTTGTCGTATATATCTGCATTCAGTAATCGAGTTTTGTTCAATTCAACTAAATATATATATATATATATATATATATATATATATATATACATATATAGCTTTAAACAAATTACTTCACTATTTTTTCATCTCAATATGATTATTCATTCATCATATTTTTATGTTTTATTCTTTTGTTTTACATTATTCAGACGATCGCGATGGCATCTATCAGTCTTGGCGGTAAAGTACAAGAAGAACATCAACGGCTGCGTGATGTGATTGTTTCTTATTACAGGTACAGGTATAATATTTTAATCTAAAATATATCTTTATAGTTTAAATCACAAACCGATCTCAGTTGGACTACCATTAAAAACCTGAAAGCAGTAGATGATTGTCCGAGTACGGACTCCTCAACACTGCGCATTCGTGATCCTGCATCCAGTAATTTAACCCATTACAGTCAGTTTCGCACTTAAACATTTAATCTGTAGACCACTGAGCCGGCATTTAACGGTTTTGGTGATTAACTTCATTCAATTCATGTTGTCACTCGACCCTCATCCATTACGTATGATGAATAACTGTTTCACTCCTAACATGATTAAACTCCACTTGTTACGCTTCTCACTTGAACTTTAAGAGTTACTTTTTGATGTTTCTTATTACTTAGAAGTCCCGTACAAAAACAAAACGACCATCCCGTGCTTCCATTTTTCAATGGTGGTTTCACTAAGATTCTTAAAATTCTACAATTTCCACAAATTCCGCTATACTTAAATATATCTGTTGGCATTTTTTAAACATGCTTTCTGGGAACACGTGTATGTTGTAATTGAGCAACTTGAAGTTTAAGGTAGTATTTCGAGTAGAATCAGTCTATTAAAGCAACCTTTATAGATTGATCAAGCTTTTTAAACTCATGTACTGTAAATTGTCTAATGGATTTTTAGCATTATTCATAAGCCTTACCACACCAATCTTTTCTTTTTCAGGACACTTCACAAAAACCGTCGTAGTCCTCTGGAAGTCGGTGATGATTATGATCGCTTACGTGAAAGTCTTGTACAAACAGAATTATTTTTGATGCGATTGTTAGCTTATCACGTTCGTCGTCCTTCTCTACCACATCCGTATCTAGTTCATTATCTTCATTCTTTACTCCATTGGGTTGGTAAAGGTATAGCACAACCATGCGGGTCCGATTTGAACGCTGGTGGAAATTCAGTAAATGCTTCTGCAATTGCATTAGCACGACTTCCCGGTTTGGCTTGGTCAATACTGGCGGATTCTTATCAGTCAGCTATGTGTTTAGATTTTGCCCCAGAGCATATTGCTGCAGCTGTACTGCATTTAGCTTTACGGATTGCTGGTGTTGAAATACCTGGTAATCGACACTCTGAAATGGCCTGGTGGCAGGTAGCTTTCAATTTTTATTTTTCTTAATAATGTTTAACGGTATGTTTCAAAATTAGCACCTAAATTCACAGTACCGATGAATCATGTGATTACAGTAGGCGTCTAACTCAGACTTATGCTGCTTAGCTGAGGGTGAAACGAAATTCTGTAATTTTCAGAAGTAATGATTTTATGTTAGGTTGTTGGGGGTAGTCATCTGATTCATATCGTTTACATCAGATGGTGTAATCTAGGTCATTTAAATAATAATAATCTAATCGTTGGCTAATAATGCACCTTTACTATGCAGAATACACAAATTCTATTTTATATGACGGTGTAAAAGTAGTTCTAAACGTATACTGTAATAGACTTGAACAGTTATCACTTTTGTCCCGAACTATATGTTGATGTTATTAACAACATTTATTGTTTGTTAAACTATCTAACTAATCATTTTATTGTATAATTTAGTCTTTAAATAAACTTTTATTGTCAATTTAAATCTATCTGCTGATCACTTATTCCTCTGACGGAACAATTTAGACCATTATGAGGACACTGTTCTTTTTTTTTAAAAAAAGACAGCGAACTATCCCTCAGATGGCTCACTGAATGGTCATTTCTTATTGTTTCGTTCCTTATGTGTGGTCATATATAATTGACCAAGTCCCAATGAGGCTACTAAACAAGTACACTATACTAGGTGGTTGAAGGGAATCGTCAAGAAAAGTCGCACCTATTTTTCCTGTCCATTTGTACTCGTTTGATTCTTAAGGCTTAATCATCAAAAAGTTTTGTAAATAATTAAATTTATCTCTGCGCTATAGGGTATTATTTAATAATTTTAAAACCTACTTCACTTTTTTTAAAGGCTATTTCAGATAGTTTGTCCCGTGAAATAGTTGAACAAATTCAACTTCGAGTAATGGATATTTATGCAGTGGATGATAAATTTAAAGCCAGTACACTTAATCGTTTCACTGATGAATTTTGAGTAACGTTTGTTGGCGAACAGCTTTGCATTTTTTATACTGTTTTGTCATGTACATTCGAAATGTATTGTAAAGAAAATCTAATATTCAAATTTGTTAACACTCGAGTCGTTTTGCATTGTCTCTTTCCACATTTTCCGTTTCTGATTTGACGATTTAGAATGATTTTTCGTGATCCTAAACATTGATTAATCAACAGTTTACTGCTATTTCCGAAATCCCATTTCTACTACAGACACTCGATCCTTTGAATATCACAAAGTATCAATCATGTAGTTCAATGAGATGCATATACATACGTATATTTGTTACGGTGTTTTTGTATTCCTGCTTTCTACAAATATCATATAGTTTCTTATTGTGTTCATCTTCCAAGAACTACTTTTTGATGTATCCACTGGAGGATTTAAATAAATTAGTTGTATCTGGTGAATTTTTTTCTCCAGTAACAATTATTCGTAGTTTGCAGTTTTCATTAGACTGATTTCAATTTAGGTGGCATTAAAAACCTCAAAAGTGCACGCTCATGATCCCACCAAGGATCAGTGTCATCACCTTGATATCTTGTGATAAACATCTAACCATTAAAACCACTGTGTCGATATATTTTTCATTGACGATCTACAATGTTCATCACCTTTAATAGATTATCCCTCATTTGATTAGCTTCACCTACTGGCCTACGTTTGTGAAAAAATGAGAAACCTGTGTCAGAATGAAAAGTGAAGTTTATCAAGTAAAACTCATCTTTTGATGCTAACTATTTACCTAAGTACAGTTATCGCTAAAATACTTTTATATTTATTATGAAACTAAAATGCACCTTGATCTTATCCTTTTATATTGGGTCGATATTTAACCTTTTATAAATAAGCTATTGACTTATCACTGCACGCTGTTTTAGAAAACGCGTTACAAATGAATCCCCGATACTTGCTCTCATATTTCTTCGACATATTCATAGTTAATTTCACCTTAAATATTTTTCAGACATAGCTACCGTTTGACTGTTCAAGATATATAAGTAATTCCTGTATTATACTTGGAAATCGACAAGTGAATATTGTTTGAACTCATTAATCTTCTTTTAGAAATACTTTCACCAATCCGAAATTCATTATAACCTGACTGATATATTTTATGAACTTTGATTAATTTTTCTGTGAGTTTTATGATTCTGAACAAAAATTTTATGATTGCAAATGATGGGAATCATCAAAGTTTTGTCAGTTCAACAAATTCGCCGGTTTTTTACATTTGTGATCAGTATCAAGGTTATCTTCTCTGAGTCTCTACTAGAAACATTAACTAGGAGGATCTAGATATATCATGTGCCTGTAATCACAATTCTGTGCATCTTGAGTGAATTTTACCAAACGTTTTGTGTTTTTTCATTCATTAGCAGTCAGTTCAATACACTTGTTTGATGCAAAGCAGTCGCTAATTGATTCATCGAAATTTTGCATCATTTAATCCCACCTGTACCCTAGGAAACTTCAGATGAAAGTTGACATGTAATGACTAAATTACTGAATGAACAGATCTATCTGGTTATATAATCTGTTTCATTTCATCCAATATATTTAGCTTATTTGATATTCCATCATATTCAAATAATATTTTTCCATCGACCTCCGTATCCGTAGATTGTCGCCGTATGTGAATTCATCTAATAATCGTGGTTCCCAATATCATGATATCAGCGGTCATACACAAACATTATGCAGATTTTTCAAATTCCCATAGATATTTAATTTATATCATCGCTTACTTATTATTTGGGCTTGAGAGAGTATAACTCCGTCTGTAGCTCTTCGAAGGTTACTTCCGGTCTCAAGCCCAGATAAGGGAGGAGGGCTGAGAATTGTGTCAGCAACCTCAATCTTCTGCGCCCACCAAATATAGCAAAGATGATAATAAAGATCAGTTCTATAAGGGGATGCAATCAATCATAGCGAAGTGCCCAAACAAAGACACCACCACTCTGATGAAAGACCTAAACGCCAAAGTCGGAAAGAAACAGTTATAAAGATATCATGGAACGACATGGGCTGACTGCGAAAAAGGAACGAGAATGACAAGGGTTTATCAAATTTATGTAAATTAAACAAGATAATGATTGGTGGCACTATATCCCCCCACAAATACGTACACAAAACTACATCAGTCACACCGGATCACCCTACACAGAGCCAGATCCATGATATTTGTATCAATAAAAATTCCAGAAGACTAATGAAAGACGTGAGAATCAAGAAAGGAGCTGACATAGCTTCAGTTCATCACCAATTGGTTGTGGCCAAGACCAAACTGAAGCTGAAGAAACATTGGACAACAGGACAAACAGCATCACAAACGTTTGACATAGGTTTCCTTCGAGACACTGACAAACTTCATGAATTCAAGATCGCTCTCAACAACACGCTCCGAGTTTTGTAAGATCTACTGAAAGAAGAAGAAACTACCATGGAGAACAAGTGGAGAGGGATGAAAGCGGCACTAAATTCAACGTGTCGGGAGGTGATGGGTCTCAAGAAGTATCATCATTAAGAATGGATGTGTATGGAAACCGTGGGAAAGATTGAAGAAAGGAAGCTGAAGAAGACAGCCATTGGCAACAATGGATGGAGAACAGAAAAAGTGAAGACGCAGACCGAATACACGTAGGTAAACAATCAAGTTAAGTAGAGTATTACAGACGACCAGTAGAACTACATGGAAAATCTAGCAATGGCAATGGAACAAGTTGCAATAGAAGTAAATATGGGACAACTATACAATGAGGAAGTCAGCAAAGTAATATGGTAAAGAAGAGAGAGACCAATCAAGAACAACGAATATAAGTCGATCACTGGGATTCGAGAAGAGCTTCCTTGACTGGTCCCAATCACTGATTGTGCCAGTCTATAAGAAAGGAAAAAGTCCTACTGTGACAATCACAGAGGGATCAGTTTGACTAATATAGTGTCTAAAGGATTAGCTTCAATAATACTAGGTCGCCTAACCAAAGCTCGTGAAAAGCAGACTAGAAAAAACAAGGCTGGTTTTCGACCTGGACGTGGTTGCATAGACCAGATATTGACTCTACGTCAGGTCCTAGAACATAGACATACATTCAGACATCCCACAATCGTAGTATTTCTTGTCCTTAAGGTGGCATTTGACTCCGTTGATCGTGAGGTTCTATGACAGTGTTTGTCACTGAAAGGAGTACCAAAGAAGTACATTAACCTCATAAAGGCTCTCTACTCGAACACAACTGGACGAGTTAGAGCCTATGGCGAACTGTCATCAGAATTGGTTACTTCAAGTGGTGTTCGTCAGGGCTGTCCACTCTCCCCATTCCTGTTTAACTTTGTCGTCGACATGCTTTTAGAGATATCACTTTCATCATCTCAATCTCCTGGAGTTGAACTTCTACCAGGAGGCTCACTTATTGACTTAGAATACGCCGACGACATAGTTTTATTTGGTGAAGACGCTGACAAAATGCAGAGTCTTCTGACCACTATAAGCAACAATGCAGGCATGTTCGGGATGCGATTCTCTCCCTCGAAGTGCAAAATGTTACTTCAGGATTGGGTTGCAGCGACACCTGAACTAAAGATAGGGAGTGAAGTAGTTGAGAGTGTAGACCACTTCACTTATCTTGGGAGTCTCATCAGCTCTTGTGGTCTGGTGTGTGACGAAATCTCAACACGGATACAGAAGGCTCGCCTAGCTTTCGCCAACTTGCGCCATTTATGGCGTAGGTCAGATATCCGTCTAGCAACCAAAGGACGTGTTTACTGTGCAGCAGTTCGCTCCGTCCTATTTTATGGCAGTGAAACATGGCCCATAAGAGTAGAGGATATTCGTAGGCTACTAGTATTTGATCACAGGTGTCTTTGAAGCATTGCTCGTATATTCTGGGACCACCGGGTAAGTAATGGAATTCTTAGGAAACGAGTACTAGGTAAGGATGGCAAATCGATTGATGAAGTAGTGAAACTTCATCAGTTGAGATGGCTGGTACATGTGTTACGTATGCTTGACCACCGACGTGCAATGTTTCATGGTGTAGGAGTAGGTTGGAAGAAAGCTAGGGGTGGCCAGACCAAAACGTGGCACAAATCAATGAAGTCACTGACAATTGGACTGAGCCATGTTGGTAGGTGTAGACTACCTGGTTGGGATTCGCGAGATGATAGCAACCGATGGTTAGAGATCTTGAATGACATGGCTCAAAATCGTTTGCAATGGCGAAGGTGCATCCACTGTTTATGTTCTACCAAATTCTAATCTTCTGAATTCTTCATGTCCCTATCCTTTTTCTCTTTCCAAATTTATTTCACCGTACTATACTCCTTCAATAATTTCTTCAAACCTTAATCTTTTGGATTTCTGATTATACTTCTACCACTATGAGATCTGAATCGACAATTGCATCTCTGTGCTAATGTGGTATGGCAACTCGAACTGATGTACGTACGTACGAAGTTCTACGTTTTGACTGACTGACTCCTTGATTATGAGAGGGAGTTTGACAGTGTGGATAGGGAACCTTATGGAGCGTTCTCCGACATTATGGTGTCAGTAGCTGAGAACATCGTCATCAACATACGGATTTCATATGACGGACCACATTGCAAAGCTGTGTATGGTGAACAGCTCACTAGTGTATCCCGAGTAGGGACTGGGGTCATACAACACTACCAAATTTCCCCGTTTCTCTTTCTTCTAGTGGTTGGTTTGATTGTGAAGACCTCAACATGTGAGGGGAAGCACAGAATACAATGAACAGTTTGAATGCAACTAGACTATGTGAACTTTGCAAATGACCTATCTCTTCAATTCCATACACTGCAACGAATGAAAGTGAAGACAACTAGTGTAGGTGCATCTTTTTCAACAATAGACCTCAATATGCACAAGGGAGGAAGTTACATCCTCAAACAAAACGGAGAACATCAATCCAAACAACTCCGGATGAGGTGGAATCTTTCATGTATCTTTTTACCATCATCGATGAACGTGAAAGATCCGATGGAGACGTAAACTTAAGTATTGACTAAGTAAAGGCAGCATTCCTACCATTGATGATCATATGGAACTCAAACCAACGGTCTTCAAGCCAATATCAAATTCAGAATCTTCGACATAAACGTTAAAACAGTCCTACTGTACGAAGCTGGAACTAGGAAAACTACTACAATCATCGATAAAATAGTACAGGTGTTTATAAACAGTTGTCTACACAAGATACTGAATGTTCGATGACCAGATGCCACAGCCTAATGTATGAGAGAACAAACGAACTTTCGGCTGAGGAAGAAATTAGGAAAAGACTTTGGAAGTGGATATGACACACATTTCGGAAATCATCAAACTGCATCACGAGGCAAACTCTAACTTGGGATCCTAAAGGGAAACGATAAAGAGGAAGACTAAAGAACACACTGCGTCAGGAATCGGAAGCAGACATCAAAAGGATGGATAAAAACTGGAAAGGATTCCTCAGGACCGAGTTGGATTGAGAATACTGTTGAGCTGTCTATACTCCTCCATGAGGGGTAACAGTATAGGAACTGTAAAGCACATGTATGTGCTAAAAATTTGCAAATGTAGGACTAGTTTAATGAATAGGGATCAATGTTAAAACCAAAGTAAAGAAAGATTGATTCGACAAACATGTGTTTCCAAATGATTTCTCTCTGGTTGTTGTACAAATTTGTGTGATTTTTTAACGAAAAAATTTCAACAGGCACTTCTTGAATTTCCGGTTTTCATTTCTAAGGAATTGATTATCATATTTTGCACAGTTTACTTAATATACAAAAGTATTTATCACCATGTAATAATATATTTTTCATTTAACACATCACGAGTCACCATTAAACTCGTCACATTAACAAGCTGATACCACAAAATGTGAATGGAATTTCTTAATTTCTACTATAACCATGTGACAATTGTGAAAACACAGTAATTCATTTTTTCGATTATTGCCTAGAAAACAACCGTTCTGCAGTTCAGTTGATAGGTTTTATCAACATAGGAGTATTAACAAAATAAACTGAGTTGAATAAATTCAACTAAAACAAATAGACAATATATGTTCCCGGTACCTATGGTGTTCCAAAGAATCTTGGATGTTGTTTGTATGTTTAGATAAGCTATAAGCATATTTTCTGAAAGCACTCTTCAGTGAACAAGACAATATATACGAATGGTTAGAATTGGTTATGGTGATTTGTGTATGCTTACGCAGTGCAATAATTTATGATATTTGAAAGAAAACTACCTGAGCTTCATAATTGATAATACTGGTTACTGACATCAATCGAATAAGATAACTCTGCCTCATCATTATGAAGTCTCACGACTCAGTGAATCCGAACGATTAGGATTGAAAATGATCTACTATAAGACTGGAATAGATACGCTAATTGGTTATTGTGTGCATTAAAATGGATCTATATCTGGTGTGTTGTACTATATTAAAATACGATGCTCGAGATTCTCGTCTCCAAACATTTTGCTATTCATGCACCCAGACAATTAACTTGAAAATCTGTAGAAATTAACCTTGGAATGTTTTCAGAGATTGGTCGGTTATAGGTGAGACTGGTGGAGTTCAATCAGATCGAATGTGAGACTGGTTTTACTAATAGACGTGACTGATGATCTCAACTTGGCAAATAGACAAGTTAATGTGAACCATAGGACATTAACTCGGTAGTTCCGAATCGCATACTCAACGTGAGGTTTCAAGGTTATGGATTCATATTACTGCGAAGCTTCGTACCAGGCCAGAACTTATATCTTGTGCACTCTGTTTTTCAATAGTTATTTAATTGCAGCCAGTCTGTGTTGTAAACTATTTTCGAAGAAGTAAACATTTTATAGTAATCAAATTTACTACTGATAAGTAATTTGACAAGTTGATGTCCATTCCGGTATTATCAATGCTCGAATTTTAACAAACATTCTACTCTGATAGTAATGTTAATCAAAACAATAATGACTGTTGACTTATGCATTTATTCGTATTTCTTAAAGATCAACTAAGATTCTCTGATATTCAGAAAACTGTCTAGGAAATAACTCTCTTGTTTTACATTATATCGTCGCAAACCACAATGCTAAATATTGGGTAGCATTAGGCATTGAACCCCAGTCTTGTCGTGAGACATGAATATTGTTTGTGTAATTCGAAGACCCATTTGATTGTAGGATTTAGATGTCCGTAGATTGTAATGAATGCTATAACTATGTGCCTAGACAGACACGGGTAATCGATTTCTTTGTTTCTTTATCTATACACTACCAGAGTTAGATTTCGGCTCCATTTGTTCGATTAGTGGAGTTTATACTCAATATTTTAGG